TCTTATATGTAAACAAGTGCATATAAATGTTTCTAGAGATAAAACCGAATATGGAACTGAGCAAAAATCTACCTATTGCAAAGCAAAACATCCTACTCTTTTTTGCTTTTGTTTCTTTTTAATTTTTTTGCTTTATTTAATTTTTTTATTTTTTATTTTTGGACCCCACAGTCTTTACCAATGGTGGCTTAATCCTCCTCAAAGGTCAGTTAAAGTGCCTGACTCACTAGCCATCGCCTAATTACCCCCCTCAAGATAGGCCCGCGTGTAACTCATTTCCTGAGAACTGTAACAGGAGTGGCATTCGAGTAATGCCAAAGACATTTACTCCAGTCCAACCACTACAACGGCAACCTCAAGTGAAGCCCACCTCAAACTCAGAAGCACCTACAACTCAATATCCCGGAACTGGAAGCTTGCCCGCGCCTGACAAGCACCAAGAAACCTGCGATGACTTAAAAAGACATGAGCCCGGAAAAGTAACCAAAACCAATCCAAGAAATGCCTAGTCAGAAATCGACTGCTGAGCCGAAACCTCTCATTCATCAAGAAGCCATGGAGCTGTCAAAGCTTGATGATGATAACAGAGTGAAGGAGAATGGAAGGCCAAATGGTGATAAAGATGATGCAGCCCAGAAAGCTTTAGAAAAGGACGAAAGTGATGGGTTTGGCGATGCTACAAAGAAGATTTCTAGACAAAAAAAAAAGAAGAAGAAGCCAACATTAGTGGTGATGGTGAAGCAAGAGCTAAGGATCAGTTGACTGAAAAGGTCACTGTTGCTGTTGCTGGTAATCAACTAGTTGGACTGGATGGGTCTAGAAAACTGATTGTGAACATGATTGCAGCTGTCCAGGAAGACAAATGCCCCAAAGGATCAAACGAACTGGATTTCTCCAAGGTTGTTACCATCTCCCCAACTCAGAACCCAACGGTCGATAACCAATAAACAAGAAAAGGAAGCTAGAATGTTCACAGTCGCCTATGTGCAGACAGAGTCAAAGTGGTGTGCCTGATCTGTTTGGGGGGCTGGATGGAATTGGACCCGGGCAACTAGTCACCTTATTAAAAGTAAAAAGGACACTAAAGACCAATCATGCTAATGGCAAACACAGAAGTTAGAACAGATTAAATAGCCAAGATCTTTGAACAAATTCGAAGGAAACCCAACTATTCTGCAACAAAACAAATCTCTGTACTAGACTTAAAGTTAACTTAATCCAGAAAAGAACACCTGGCATATGTCTGAAACTGGTTTAAGTCAAAAGAAGACATTTGGTCCCCAGGAATCGAGATTAACTGGGTTTTATTAAAATTCCCAGATGGAAGTTATTTCCAAAAGAAGACATTCTTGTTTTATACTGAATACTGACACCACTCTTTAACACCAAGGGAGTCTGAACCTCAAATGGAAAGAAAAAAAAAACGAAGTAAACTAAGCTGACTCTTAGTTATTTTGTAAAAACACCTGATTAGGATAGTGTAGTCGTCCTAAAGCTAGACTCACTTAATTAACCCAATGACTGTAACCAGAAACTGCTCTCAAAACAAGTCAGATCAGAACAAAACTCCCATGTTTAAGTAACTTCTACCTATAGCTCCTAAAACCAGTTACCCAAGCTGCTTCTCAGCAATCCAGTCCGGTGGGCCAAGGCCCTTCTGTATCAAATACTGGAGCAACTCCATCTCAAGGCCAACAAGGGATAGAACAGATTTAGGAAATACATTCCATTACCGACCTGCTGGTCTTGAACAGAATCTGAGGGACTGCTGTTCAGCAAGAATCACTGCAAACATTGAGCAGAAAGGCAAGTACTATAGGGAGAAAGCACGGGTTAGGCCCATAACAGATTCATGCAACCATTTCTACTCCAACCAGGATTTGATCCGTGATGGCATTAAAACAGAGGAGCACAGAGAGCTGAATTCCAACTTTGCAATTCAAAACCAACTTGAAATGGCCATTAGGCAACATGAATTCAATGATGTGTGATGAACTGATTTATGACAATCTGCTACTTTATTTTATTTTTTTCACTATTATTTAAGATATGTGCCTCATAAAAAAAATAAAAAAAAAAACAGGACAAAAACTATGAGCAAAACACAGAATAATAGAACTAGAAACCACTTCCTTTGCCCCAACTTCCAACCTGCATCTAGTGTGGCGGGTATGGCCATGCTCCTTTCACCCTTATATGCACTCACCACTCCATCTCATAATTAGCAGCAAAAAAGCATTAATTCCCTTACCCTGTACCCACCTAATTAAGAGTTAAGTCCAACAAGAATTCTGCATTCTCCTGAGAAACTAAGCAGTTGCAATTTGACTGAGTATTCCTACGAAGCCAAACGCTAGCTAACTACCCCTGGTCATAAGTCATCTTCACAACCTGCTCTTGGTGTTGAAATTTTAGTGCTGGAAAGTAACCTTCAAGAGTCGGACCTACAACCAAAGGCAAGGAACAAGACCTGAAAGACCCTCGTTCAAATGCTTTGAGAGACTGATTACCTCTGGCTCATGTTTATCTTCATGTCGCAAGGAAAGAGAGCCACAACTATGGAAAGTTAGCCAGGGTAGAAATTGCAGCCACACTGAAAGTCCAAAATTGTTTTCACCATGAATCTTGTGTATTTAGCAAGCAAATGAGGGATGTTGGCTTTATCAAGCTTGAGACTAAGGATTTATTCAAACAAGACTGTCATGCAATTTACTTACTTGAACAGATATTAGAAGCAACAAGCATGCCAACCATAATAGAAAACCATCAAACTTAGATAAGTTAGCCTTACCCAATAATCACATATTTGAATCATCAACAGAAAAAAAGCTACTGAAGCTTACTTCCTAGTGCTCTGATGTCTGAGGCGAACTAGTGCCTAAGGTTAGGACAGGACGGTTCTCTGTCAGATGGGAGCTTTCTCATAAAGCTCTTGAATGACTCTATATGTGGATCACCAATCCGCACTCATACTTCACCACCAACCCACATAAATGACAGGAGACACAACACATGGAGGGGAGTGAAGGAGGAGGAACAGTTCTGAATAGATCTTTTCTTTTATTCTGAACAAGCACTTGGGTCTACCTGTGAATCAGCTCAATGTTGATTTAAGATAGGATAGAGGAAATCCACTTAGGTTAAACAAGGCCGTCATTCCAACACCAACCTCTGGCGTTAAACGCCAAGGTTCACAGTAAGAATGCAGATTTAGGAATGGTATAGAACAGATTGCTTCAATCCAAACCAGAGACCCAAGTATGACAACCAAACCATTAAGGAACACAATCCAAAACCCTCTTTACTTTTAAAAGAAAACCAAATCAAACAACAGAGTAAACTTCAAACCAGGATTTTGTTTTGAAAACCCAAAGAAAAGTAAACAAGACCCCAAAAGGCTGAGATTGCTTCTCCCACTCCCGGAACTAGTGTAAACTAAAAAGAAACATCAAACCAGATGTTGATTTTTTTTTACTTGAAGAGCTCAAGCGAACTAATCAAGATTTTAAAACCCAAACCAACTTTCTCTTATTTGGTCAAACTGAGGAAAGCAGGTAAATAGGAACATCTGGCTTGTGCTTTCACTTGAAACGCGACCAAGCTGATTTATACCAGCAGGTGGGGGAGTTAAGCAAATATGAGCTCAGAATGAAAAGCATGGTATTATTCAAACTTTACTTAAAAACTGACTGATCAAAGTCATTTGAAGACCAGCCTCCAAAGTTAAACTCAACAAAATTCAACAATCAAACCATGAAACAGAGCTCAGAATTAAGTATTCCAACTACTGCATTGTTTGGCACTCGTTCTAGAAAACATCTAGGCAGAAATCCAACATGGAATCAAAAGCCAAGAAGCCAATTTTATCAGAAAATTAAGAGCATGCAAATGCAGTACTACCACCGTATTATGAACCCACATCCAAAAACTGACTAGATTAACACAAAACATCATGAGATAGCTTCGTCAAGAATTCAGATTAGACTATTATCAGTATCCATCAGAAATTCCACAGAAAGAAAAATTCAATCTAGCACGAGATGCTAAGTTAGAGTCTAGGACAACAATCAGCATTCCAACTAGGTATATGCATGGCATAATACTTACTTATCAGAATTCCACCCTGAGATTATTTAATGCAGCATTAACACAGAAATCAAAAAACTACTCGTCTAGAAATATGCTGCTTCTTCTAGGGAACTCCATCAAAACCCAATCCAATAGAATAATAGCATATAAAGAAAGAGAATAGGGGAGTTTCCCCCAAAAAATAATCAGAAGAATCCTCAAACTCCAACTGGCTAAAACCAGAACTGATGGCCAAATAACAAAAACAGAATTGCTTTTAAATTTTTTTTTTTTTACACTCTGCCCAACCAAATAAGAAGATACCACTCAGAGCTTAAAACTTGCAGCTACCAAATGCTATGGAGTTGCCACTCATCAGAATAGCTAACGGGGAGTGATGGGGCTCCCGGATTTGCTTTTAGTAGGAAATCTCAAAATAAATAGCGACTCCATATACCACTCGGCTGAGGCAAGGCCCACGTGGGTAAGTTGAGAGGGAGAGAGGGAAGGGGTTACGCATCCCTCTCTCCTGTCAATGTGAATCCCGAAATCCCTTCTTTGCACAGAAAATGGATAGAGACTCGGTCAGATCCTCTGGTAGTTCGAAAGGGTGCTCCCTTCTACATTCTCAGACCAGTCCCCTTTTGGATGCAGGGGCTTCAACAAAAGGATGAGAAATGGCTTCCTCACCCCTTTTCTATCAGAGCCCCCACCTTGGACTCAGCTGAATGGTCTGAGAAGAGATGGAGTGTGAACCTTTCGAACTCCAGAGGATCCGCAAGCCTCGGACTGAGAAGAACGAATGCAGGAAGCAGGAAGCAGGAACGACAATGCAAATAAAACGGAGAGATAAACTATCAAATAAACAGGGAACCCATGATTAAAACTACAGGTGAGAAACTAAATTCAGATATGAGGTAGTCGAGCTATACCTCTTGTAGACTTCACAAGGATCACGATGCTGATATTCACAGAACTGGCAAACTCGGGTTTGACGAACTCGAATAGTGGCAATTCGATAGTAGCAGCGGTAGCAAATCGATTGCAGAGAATTGATGGGTGGAGTTTTTAACGGCAGGGCTGTGATGGGTCGTCAGCAGCGCAGATTGAAGCTACCCGAAGACAGATGATAGCACCAGTAATAGGACAAGGATCGTGGGTTTTGCCTGGAGCCACCGCTCTCCTCTTTCTCTCTCAGACTTCCTCCCTCTCCTTCTTTCGCACCTCCCTTCTGAAGCTTTCTCTTCCTTCTTCTCAGCTCGGTAGCTCTAGGCTTCTCAAAGGAAATGACGAGGGAACGAGAGCCCCCTTCCCCAGCTTCTTCCTTTCGACTTCCTTTCTTAGCTCGGCCGTTCCTCTCGAAACCCTCAGCTCTCCCTCTTTCTTTCTCTCGAAGCATTCAACTCTCGCCCTATCTCTCTCCCTCTTAATTCTCAGCTCGGTAGTTCCTCAAAAGGAAAGCACCGAGAGCCTCCCTCCAAACTCCCCTCCTTCGTCCTCTATTCTCTTCAAAAGACACATCTGTTTCAAAGCTCTCTCTCCAAATCTCAAATTCGGCAGGTCCAAGGAAAACGCTGAGAGCTCCCTCTGATCTATTCGGAGAGACCCCAAGCTTTCCACCCTCGACCTCCTCTCTATTTAAAATGGGAAGGAAGGGGGTTTTGATTAAAAATTGAGAAACAAGGGGGTTATGGTAGGGAAGCTAGGGTTTGGGGGGGTACCCACTTGGTATGTTTGGAAACTTGGGGTAACCTGGGAATTAGGTCAAGGGGGATTTTGGGTAAGTTGGTAAAGGGTATTTTGGTAATTCTGGTACTTTTGGAAAGAGGGGCATTTTTGGAAATTTTCGTCAAGGGGTAATTTGAGAATTGGTCAAAGGGGTAGTTTGGGTAATTTTGGTCAAAGGCATTTTGGTATTTTTGGTAAGAGGGGTATTTTGATAATTTTGGTAGGGTAATTTGGGAATTATGCCAGGGTAATTTGGGTAATTTGGTGGGAGGGGTATTTTTGTAAATTTGGAAAAATGGGTCAAACTAGGTTTAAGGGGTCAGGCCGGGTTTCTGGTTCAATGGCAGGGATTTTTGGGTCAAAAAATTGAGGGTTGAAACAGGTCTACAGAGGGGATTTTGTGTCCATGGGCTAAGGAAATTTTCCTAAACTACCTCCCCCACTATCCCTCACTTTCTCACAAAATTATATAATTACTTTAAAATATTTATTAAGAACACAAAAATTAGTTATAATAGATTTAATATTATTCATATTATTAATAATTTTATATTTTTACAAAATTTTTGTTTTCTAGATTATTCGATTTAAATGTTATTCAAATAAATAAATATTTAATATTAAAAAAATAAAATATTGTTTAAATATTTCAAACTAGATATCTAAAATAACAAGATATTAAAAATAGCTAACTAATTATATAACAAAATTTTTAATATTATGTAATAACTTTAAAATAAATAAGTCAAATAATGAAATTTTTAAATATTTTATACATTGTTTAAATATTTTAATAAGTAGATATTTTAACTAATGAAATATTTAACATAACTAGATTTTAAATAGCTAAAATAATGAAATTATATAATAAATTTAAAAAAAATCTTAAAACTAGAAAACTAATTACAAATTAATAATAATTTAATATTTTACAAAAAATAATTACAAAGTTATATAATAATAGTATAAATTATTATTTTATGGATTATTAAATTCAATAAATAACTAATATTTTAAAATTTAAATAATGATATTATTTAAATAACTAAATAGTATTGTAAATAACTAATTTCACTTATGTCAATTAATAATTCTAGAAAATAACTTTCAAAAAAATTAAAGTTTATTAATAATAATTTTAAAATATTAATCTATATTTATTATATATTTATATATAGTAAAATCAATATTTGTTGTATTTAAAGCAATTATTTATCCTTTTTTGTGATAAATATATTTTCAATAAGTATGTATAAATCTATTTTTGTTTTGTTATTTAACAAAAAAATTTCAATAGTTATTAGAGATTAAACTAGTGGCATTTAACTTTTTAAGTTTAATTTATTGTACTTACTGTACCTATTGTATTTTTTTTATAATTTATTGATTAATATTTATTAGAGATTAAATACACTGTTTATTAACTAATTTAATATATGTTTTAGATTTATTGTATTTTTGTAACTATTGTATTTATTGTATTTTTATTACCAATATATTTTCAATAATTGTGTATTTTTACTATAAATTTTCAATAATTGTGTTCATGGGTTGGTTCGGTTCGGTTGTTGGTTGTTTGGCCATCCAAATCGACCTGGTTAGGTTGGGGAATTGGTCACCTGAAACTAGGGATGCAAACAGATTGGATCAAATTCAAATCAAGGTATATCTGAATTCGATCCTATATTGTTAATTGTAGATCACAGTTATGATACACATGGATTCGAATTCAAATCCGATGAAGAAGTTAGATTTTCATATCTAATTCGATCCCATTTGATTTTAAAAAAAATTAATAACTTATTAAAATGAAACAAGGATATAACAATTAAAAAAAAAAACTACATGTATATTTTCAACTATTTTCATCATATATATACATGTTTTTTATAAAAGGAAAATTCTTGATGGGTACCCTATACTTTAGGCCGAGTGCCAATTTAATACCCGAACTTTAAAACCCAACAATGTAGTACCCAAGCTTTCAGAATGCGACAATCTATTACCTACTGTTAATAGACTGTCAGTTATGTATATCACGTGACTTCATGTGTGATTTAAGATTTTTAAAAATGTCAAAATTACCCTTGAAAATAAAACACACTATTCATCATCTTCTTTCTTAAAAAAATGAAACAAAGTCCAAGCTCTCAATAGTCTAGACTTAGTCAGGAAGTCTTGATAGCCTTTCCTMTACTATAATCTTTCCTTGGATCCCAGGCACAAGGATTTACAGCCCTTTATAGATATAGAATAGAACCTCYAGATTCTTCAAATAAAGCAAGTATCGACAGGCCTAGTCCTTTTCCTCTGCTTCTGCTGGTAAAAAATTCTACGAGTTCTATCAGCAGAATAAGGGATTCCAAGTCTTTTGTTGAGCTGGCGACACCTGGATTTGAACTGGGAAAAATAACAAAAACCCAAGAGCCCAAAATAAAGGGCTCGCAGCTCGCTATCCTCCAAGAGCCCAAAATGAAGGAAGCGACAAACCCATGTTTTTAAAACCCAAACTTTAGAAGCTTACGTACCAAGCCTCCACTCTTCAGAAGCTTACGTATGTGGTGCCATAGTCTTGGCCCAAATCATAATTCAGTCCAACTCCACCAAAGATTTGGTCCTACTTGCCGACGAATCCATAACCAAGAGAAGCCAGCGAGCCCTCCAACTATCGGATGGAAGATCAAGCAAATCAAGCGCATTCGAAGCCCCAACGCCAAGAGAAATGCCTACAACGAGTGGAACTACAGTAGGCTGCGGATATGGCAACTTACCGAGTATGAAAAGATCATCTTCATAGACTCTGATTTGGTCACACTCAGGAACATCGATGAATTTTTTCCGGTATCCCCAGTTATCGGCCGTAGGCAACGACTAGGTTCTCGATGTTGATTGAGCCGTTGGAGTGTACGTTCAGGAAACTGATGGATAGGAAGAAAAATGTGGTTTCGTGCAATGAAGGAGACCAGGGCTTTCTGAATGAAGAGTTTACGTGGTGGCACCGGTGGCCGTCAACTCTGAATTATCTAAAAGTTTTCGAAGAGACCAAAAGTAGTGAAAGAGAGAAGCTGTCGGAGTCTCTGTACGTGATTCATTATTTGGGGTTCAAGCCATGGATGTGTTACAAGGACTACGACTGTAACTGGGAATCTGAGATAAGGGGAAACACCGTTTATATTTGCAAGTGATTCAGCTCACAGAAAGTGATGGCAAGTGTTCGACGCAATGCCGAAGAGGTTGCGGCCTTACTACAACCTCACTAAAAAAATGGATGCAAGGATAAACAAGTGGAGAGAACGGGTTTCCCCGACAGACACTTGAAGATCAAGGTTAAGGATCTAGGCAACACAATTGATAGATAGATAGATCGAAGAAGCTCGCTTTTCTCTTAATTTTTAAACTAACAGCTAACAGGTGGAATATTAATTTTTCTCATGGGTAATTAATCGTGTGAAAGGGTACCCAGTAATGGGTAATTAATTTTTCTCAGGGATAATTAACAGTGGAATATCAATCGTGTGAAAGGGTACCCAAACCACTTTATCTATCAATAGAGAACCCCCAGTTTTCCCTTCGAAGACTGATGAGTGTTGAGATGCGTTTAACTTGAAGGGCATTTGTTACACAGTTATTGTTTTATCAACCGGTAATAAAAACACTTGGGATCACCTATTAACAAATTGTTGATAAAGAAAATTAGATGACACTTGAAGGGCATTTGTGTCTTTTTTCATGACATTTAACGGTTGGTTAACAATAGGTACTAGATTGTTGCATTTCAAAAGTTCAGATATTAGATTGTTGTGTTTTAAAGTTCGGGTACTAAATTGGCACTCAGCCTAAAGTACAGGGTAGGAACTTTCCCTTTATAAAAAATAAATAATATAACAAATTTACAAAAAATTCAATATAAATAATATATTTATAAATGAATAAATAAGTAACAAATCTATGCGTTATCTATATTTATATAAATAAATAACATATATATCGGATCAAATCTTATCGAATCAAATAGGGGCCTGGTGACTTGAATTTGATCTGATTTCTGATCAGGTCCTATTATCTGACCCGATCTGAAGATTCAAAATGGGGCTATCTGAATTCAAGAATATAAGATCGGACTTCGAACCAGATCTTGATCTGATCCATTTGCCCCCTACCCGAAACCAACTAACCATTAGTGAAATCTGCCCAACTCGGGTTGTATCAATTTAACTCAATTTTTAGTTTGGTTAGTCGATTCAAAAGATTTAAACTTAAAAAATAAATTTGAAAATTGGAAAATTAAGAAATTTATTAAATATATATATATATATATATATATATATATATATATATATATNATATATATATATATATATATATATATATATATATATATATATATGTGTGTGTGTGTGTGTGTGTGTGTGTGTGTTCAGGTTGTTCAATTTTGGTCAATTTACAAATGGGCAAAGCGAAACAAATCTAACTTGGTTAGGTTGGAAAGTTGTTGAACCAAAGCCGGGTAGAAAAATTAGAAAATCAACCAACTTGAGTTGGTTTCATCACTATGATGAACATCACTTGCTAAAATTAATTATTGTTATTTTTGTGTTGTAAAAAAATTATTAATAGTAGTATGTAAGGGAAAATCTATGATGTGGGAAAGATATTAAGATATGGTATTGAAAGAGTTTTGACCAATGGAAATCCACCCATGAATTTTGATAAATAACACCTATTGGCTACCATGTTTATGATACCAATTGATTGGTAAAAAATTTTCAGATATTATATCTTTTCTATATCATTGTCGAACTCAAAATATAAATAATTATTAATTATTTATATATTAAAAATTAAAAAATATAAAACAATTGTATACTCTTATATATTTTTATTATTTAGCTTTCGCTCAACAAATCCCATGCATTAAAAGGATCTCCGCTAATTTACACTAAAATAGCCTATTTGGAGTAAAATGCATTGCATCAGTGCAAACGAAATTTGCAACAAAAAGAAACAAAAAAAAAAAAAACAGCCTAAGGAGAATACTTTGCTTTTACTACTTTTATGTGGAAATGAATGCAGCCTAATGTATTTTTCTAAATTATCAAACAAAAATCAATTCCCAAATAGATAAGTGGTGACTGGTGTGGCCACATTGTGTCGCAGTTAAACTATGCCATTCATCGAGGAAAACACCACACAAACAGATATAACATACAAGATGCGCAGTGCTTAAATTATCCGTCTAACAAGTGTATGTAAATATTCCACTTGGACTGATGGTCTCATGCGTTCCAGAACATAGAGGGAAAACGGTACAGACACGACAGCAGTATGGCACCTCATTCGACTAATCTGAAAATAGAGAGTTCAAACATAAAGTTGTATATTAGACAACCTTGGGGTGGGGATGGCAAATACTGGCTTTGCTGGCCTGATACTGAGCCCAAATTTTTCAGAAAGATCAAGCTCCATTTCTTCTGTAATTTTCCAATCAAAGGAATGCAGCAGAGAAGCCAAAATGTAGGGGACCATTCTCCTTGCCATGGGAACCCCTACACAAATCCTTTTCCCAGACCCAAAAGGAAAATAACGAAAATCATTGCCATTGAAGTCCCAGTTGTTGGTTTCGTTCAAGAACCTCTCTGGTTGGAACTGGGAGGGGTTGTCCCAATTTGTAGGGTCTCTGTGTATTGCCCACAAGTTTACAAAGACTCGTGCTCCCTCTGGGATTGTGTAGCCGCCTATGATGCATGTCTGAGCCGCCCGTCTGGGGAGAATGAGTGGCAGCGTTGTGTGTAGTCGCAGGGTTTCCTTTATCACTGCATTCAAATATTGTAACTTTGGCAAATGGGACTCTTCTACAACATTATTCATCCCAACAACTTCTTCTAACTCCACCTGAACTTTTCTCAGTATCTCCGGGTGCTGCATCATTTCAGCCATTGCCCACTCCACCGTCGTCGCCGATGTCTCCGATCCAGCCAGCAAAACGTCCTGTTATTTGAAGTTAGTTCTTGCCTTTTTAACTCCAATTTAAGCATTAAAAAAAAAAAACTAGAAGTATTGTCTTTCTCTGGATGAGTGAGTAGGAACGAATTACCAAAAGTAAAGCTTTCATCATGACTGAAGTCATGGGCCTTTTGGGGTCCCCTTCTTTGTTCAGCTGCAGAAGGAATTGCACGAGGTCTTTTCTTTGTTGACCATTGCTTTCCTCTGTCTGTTGTCTTTCAATCTCTATTCGTCGATCTATGACAGATTGGCAAAGCTGATCGAGCCGAATGTGGATCCTCTTCGTTTTTCTTTTCACACCTTGAATATCAAACCAGGCCAGAACAGGGAAAAGATCTGAAATGTCGGGTCTTCCCAACAGAGCGGAAAATTCCTTTGTGGCTTTCCTGCTTTCAACACCGACGATGCTCCTCTCTTCTTCGTTGAGCGTGCCACCCCACAACATGCTCATAATCACATTGGAAATTGTCTCAAACATTCGTTCGCCAACATTGATGGGAGTCCCAACCTTGGAGTAAAGTCTGCTGAGCATCCCGCGAGCCTCCCGTCGTCGAAGAGAGTAACAGGCGTCGAGTCTCGTTTTGTTTAGCATCTCTTTAACACATACAGACCGAATTGCACGCCACTGTGGACCATAGAGACTAAACACCATGTCTGAACCACCGTAGGAGAAGATGTCAGCCGCCGGCGAAACATCACGATTGACAAATACGGTTTCATGGTCTCGCATAATCTCCCCTGCTAGGGAAGAAGAACTCACTACGATACAGAGCTTGCCTCCCAGTTGAATCTTCATTATTGGGCCATATGTCTGAGCTAATTCGGCAAAGCACCGATGAAGATCGGCACTGAGAAATGGAAGGCTTCCAACCAACGGCAAGTCTCTCGGTCCCGATGGCAACGGTGGATTACTTCTTTTATCTACTGCATCCTTGGTCACCCATTTGTACCAGGCGATGCAGATTATTGTAACCAAGAGTGGAAGTATCACTTTGGTAATCATGTCATCCTGCTGATTGATACTTTCCCACCACCATGACTAACCTCCGAAGAGAGAAAGGGTCTAAATTTCCCAATCAAATACATATCTGTACTAGTGATAAGATAGGAAATGAGATTCTATTAACAAAACTATGCATGTATGAATGTTCTGTCAGAAGATGGAAAGCAAAGATTTGGAAGGAGTATTGAAGTTACCAAGAAAATTTGGTGCTGCTTCAAGAAGCTAGCTCTAAACCTTCTTTCCTTATTCCCTACCTTCTTGTAATTACTTATCGGGCCGGTATACCTGAAGGAAACAATGTTGAGGAAAAAAGACATATTTATTTGTAATTTATATAAGCTTCTTATCTGCCCGCTGGCAGCAGTTGGAAGATTTTTTGGTATAGTACAAAGTTTACAATGACGTGAAAGAAAGGGGGGATTTTTTGTAGGAAAGGGGAGGTTTTTGGTTTAGTGCCGTAAACGGATGGGACTTGGATAGTTGGATTTATTTGGATTTATCAACATAGTAGACCATATCTTTTCTCCCTTATCCGTTTTCAGCTCTTTCATTCACTGTCTTTTTTTTCTCCACTTCCCTTACCCAATCCATTAAGCCACATCATCAACATTTTCTCCCCATTTCTCTCCCTTCCCAACAGATTTGTAACGTCCAAGATTTTTTATTTGTTTTTTAAAAGATAAAAGAATACAGGTCTCTTGATAAATATAGAGTCATATAAATCCAAACAGTTTTCATAAAATCAAGGCCATGTGAAAGACTTTCACATTTCTACCCACTTCTCAATGGAAAAACTTGGCTGTTGGCCCCCAACAGCCTTTCCTGTGAAAGTTTCTGGGTTGGGCATGTTACCATGAGAGTGGGCAAATTATTAATTGCCTTCTAATTTATTTTGAGTAAAAACAAAAGCATGCCCGTGAATTGCCTTCTCAATTACTTAAAAAAGTCTTTCTAAAACATCTCCCCTCCAAAACAACCCTCACGTTTTCCCCTTTTAATTTTTCTTAATTTCTTTGTTTTTGTTATTTTCTATTTGACGAGGGGTGATTTGGCCCAACCTGGTATGTAAGGGACATGTGGACGCGGCTTGCTAGCCAAATGACAAATCAGCACATAGTGCTAGGGTGCTTGACCACTTTGGACCCAAAGCACCTCGGTATCCACTTACGCCGAGGTGCCATGTAATTGAACCTAGGAGTTCGACAATCGTCTCTGAACTTCTCGGGATCACGTAGCGTAACTGTAGGCCTTGTCCTTACCCCACCCAAATCGAAGGGAAACGGTAAGCCTCATTAATTGGTACATTACCCCTTTCCAAAGCGGAATGAATCTCTACGCCACAGGTCAAGGATTCCGGGAACGTTTCGTGAGACTTACAGCAGCCCAGCTATATAAGGGCATCAACCCCCAAGACTTGGGTACACGCGATTATTTGCTCACTAGCTTACTAGCATATAAATTTTCAGCTCGCACAACCCAGTACTAACTTAAGCATCGGAGCGACCTCGCTGGGTTAGCCACCTCGAGTTCTTTGATCCTCTGTCTTGCAACTTGGTCCAGATCGCTATGCAACTAAAAGGGGTTGTACGAGGTGATCCGCTAGATTCTCGCAAGTGCTACGAGGCTACACTAAAAGGAAAGGTGAAACTGGGGGAAGATGTCGAGCTAGAACAACCAACAGACTACACCGAGGAGCAAGCAACCTTGATGGAGGAGACAATCCACATACCGATTTCCAAGACTGAGCCAACTAAGACTCTCCAAACCAATGCCCTAATAAGCGAACCACTCCGAACACGACTAGTAAGTTTCTTACTGAATAATTTAGATGTTTTTGCCTGGTCCGCGGTAGAGATGCCCAACATCGACCCTAGTGTGATTACTGACAAGTTAAATGTGGACCTTTTAGTCAGGCCAGTTAGACAAAGAAAACGCAACCTCACCCCAGAGCGGTGGAGGGTAGTCAATGAGGAGGTCGAGAAGCTCCTTGCCACAAACTTTGTTAAGGAGGTTCATTACCTGAGCTGAGTGACCAACCCCATGCTGGTGAAATAGGCTAGCGGAAAGTGGCGCATGTGCATCAACTATACCGACCTAAACAGAGCCTGCCCATATGACTACTTCCCCTACCCAGAATAGGTCGCCTGGTAGACATGACCTCGGGGCATGAGTTGTTGAGCTTCATGGACGCCTATTCTAGCTACAACCAAATTAGGATGGACTTAGCCAATCAGGACAAGACTACCTTTGTAACTAAGCTAGAGTTGTACTATTATAAAGTCATGCCCTTCGGTTTGAAAAACGCTGGAGCAACTTTCCAACGACTTGTAAATAAAATTTTCAAACCTTTGATTAGCAATAAAATTGAGTGTTATGTTGATGACATGGTCGTAAAGACCCAATTCTCAAGCTCTTTAATTGATGATTTGAATTTGGTTTTCCAAATTTTAAGGAAATTTAACATGAAACTTAATCCAAACAAGTGTATCTTCGGGGTCACGTCGAGCAAATTCCTCGGTTACATAGTGAACCGATGTGGCATTGAAGCCAACCCTAATAAGATTAAGGCCATTTTTTATATGAGACCACCCCAAAAAATAAAGGAGGTCCAAAGACTCGCAGGCTGGGTAGCTGCCTTGAGCCAGTTTATGTCTAAATCGGTAGGACGGTGCCTACCCTTCTTTAAAGCAATAAAAAACAACGAAGACTTTGCATGGACCGAAGAGTGCCAGCTCGCGTTTGATGAGCTGAAAAGATATCTATGTACCGCCCCGGTTTTGACCTAACCTAAGGAAGGAGACAAACTGAAGTTGTACCCCTCCGCGAGTGATGAGGTCGTCAGCTCGATACTAATTAGATAAGTAGACCAGGTCCAACGACCAATCTATTATGTAAGCAAAGTTTTGTAGGACACTGAAACCAGATATCCCAACATCGAGAAGCTAGCTTACGTGCTAGTAGTAGCAGCTCGGAAACTACATCCATACTTCTAAGCCCGCACCATTGTCGTCCTCAATAACAAATCCCTGAGGCACATTTTGCTTAAGCCCGATGTGTCAGGGAGGCTAACGAAGTGGTCCATCGTGCTAAGTGAATACAACATCTGGTTTGAGCCACGTTCAGCAATCAAAGCCCAAGTCTTGGTGGACTTCATAGCAAAATGTACGTTCAGTAGCTATGGTGCCGAGATGGCAAAACTGATTGAGCCCGCTAATGCGTCGGAGGCGTCAACCAACATGGCACCGGTCTCGGTTAGGGTAGGACCAACCTAGGACAAGGAGCCCAAGATCTTCCATGTAGACAACTCGTCTAACCAACGAGGAAGTGGTGCTGGACTGATACTATACGGCCAGAGTGAGGTGAAGCTGGAGTATGCTCTCTGGTTCGGATTCGAGGCATCGAACAATGAGGCAAAGTCTGAGGCACTAATTGTCGAGCTAAACCTAGCGAAGGAGAAGTGTGTAAAACACCTTGTCATGTGCAGCAACTCCCAACTGGTAGTAAACCAAGTCAGCGACGACTATGAAGCTCGCGATTCAACAATGGCAGCTTACCTAGCCAAGGTCAGAGAAATCCAACCAGCATTTCATTCATGCTTCATCAGGCAAATACTGAGGTCTGAGAACACTGAGGTCGATGCCCTGTCACGATTGGCAAGTACCATCGACAACACAAAGTGAACTGTATATATAGAAGACCTACCTCAGCCTAGCATTCTCGGGGGGCAGAAGAGGTCACTCCCGTGTTGCAAGCGGAACCAAGCTGGGTTAACCCGCTAATTGATTATCTACTCCAGGGGACCCTACCAGCAGAACACAGTGCAACTCGAAGGGAAAAATGTCAATTAGCTCGGTACGTCCTTGTCAACGGATGGTTGTATAGGAGGTCCTTCACGCTCCCCTACCTATGTTGCTTGCGACCTTCAGAAGCCAAACTAGTACTTCGTGACATCCATGAAGGACTATGCGGAGGACACTTAGGGGGTAGAGCGTCCACCCAAAAATCACTAAGGCAAGGCTACTACTGGCCTACCATGAAGGCAAATGCGCTCGAGCTCATCAAGAAATGTGACAAATGTCAAAGGCACGCCAACATCCTCCATCAACTTGTTGCCGATCTGAAGCACATGACCAGCCCGTGGCCCTTTGCGCAATGGGGGATTGACATCCTCAGTCCATTTTCGCCGGCAACAGGGCAGAGGAAATTCTTGGTCGTAGCAGTGAACCACTTCACAAAGTGGGTGGAAGCTGAGCCGTTGGTAAGCATTACAAATCGAAACATGCAGAACTTCTTCTAGAAGAACATTGTGTGCCATTTCGGATTACCCAAGGTGCTGACCTTGGACAACGGGAAGCAGTTCGAAGACATCAAGTCCTATAATTGGTGTGCCGAGATGGGGATTCAACAAAACTTCACTTCGGTGGCACACTCGCAAACAAACGGATAGGCCTAAGTGACGAACAAGGCTATTCTCCGTAGACTGAAAGCTCGCTTAGTGCGAGCTAAAGGGTTGTGGGTGGACAAGTTGCCCAGTGTCCTTTGGGCCTATAGGATGACAATCAAGACTACAACCGGTGAAACACCCTTCAACCTCACGTATGGAACGGAGGCTATGATTCCGGTGGAAATCAAAGTACCAACGTTGCGGCTCAAGGCATACGACTAAGAGGCAAACAACGATGAGTTTCGAACCAACTTGGATCTGATCGAAGAAGTACTCAACCTGGCCTATATCCGGACTGCAACTTACCAGCAGCGAGTAGCTCAGTACTACAATGCCTAAGTCAGAAAATGACAGTTTTGAGTTGGTGACCTAGTGCTCCACAAGGTAATGGTACTTGAAACCGGCGTGGGTAAGCTCGGATCGAATTGGGAGGGTCCATACCGGGTGAGACGAGTGTTCGAAGATGGCACATATGAGCTCGAGAACAAGGAAGGGAAACAAGTATCCCAGGCTTGGAACGTTGACAACTTGAGGAGATACTATCTATGAGCTCGTGACTCCAATATGACTAAAAAATTTTTCTAAGTCCACAAGACCACCGAGTTGGTCAAAAAGACATCGAACTGGAGAGAGGACTATAAGTCACTCCCAAAGCCCAAGGGCTATGGTGCCAAGATGGCAAAAGACCTCAGTACGACAAAAGTCTCAATCACCTCCTCGGCATGGGCAACCTAAGACCTAGTCGCTAAGGCATAGGCGTGTTAAGACCCAGTCGCCTCTTCGGCATAGGCAACCTAAGACCTAATCACTAAGGCATAGGCAACTGAGAACCCAGTTGCT